TTATTGAATGCTGTAAAACATTTTACACGTTAAATTTCAATTTTCTATAACAGTCCCATTGTACAATATAAGGAGAAAAAACTCTTTAAAATTAAATTAACTTCTCGAATAGGATTTATTTTCACATAGGTTTAAAATATAGTGCTTTTCGCAAAACTTTATAAGCAGCAGATTTAAGTTATTTGCAGTGGAAACAATGTCACTAAAGAAGATAAATTTCCATAGGATATGAATATAACAAGTTATTAATTAGTTTCAAAATTGTGTCTAAACCAGGGAAAAAATTTGATTTGCACCAAGCAATGCAAGGAAGATATAATCGAAGTCTTAAGCAAGTTATAAGGGGAGAAAACGGAATAGAACTATTTTAAAAATAAATTATACGAGTAATTTTTCGGACAAATAAATTTAATTTTCAAACACAAATGGGGAAAAATGCCCCCTTTTAAAACCACAAGATTAACTAAATGTATAAATAATTTGATTTTGTTTAAATTAATACTTTAAAATTTCATTAAAAATATTAAATAATCACGAGATTTTCTTCCAAAAATGACAAAAATATTCATCTCAAATTATCATTTCGTCAACCAAAAAAGTTTAAAAGTAAGTACTACAATGTTTTGCTTTATGAAATACTCAGAACAATCAAATATATTATTTTAAAGTTTAAAAAGTCTATACAGACTGTTATCTGAACAACTAATCCTAATATGATACAACGTAAGATCCGGCGTACAACGCGCACTTATAACACAAAAAATAAGATCGAACTTTAAAGGTATAAAAATGATAACTTTAAAAATAAAAGAAAGAGAAAAGCCTAAGAAAAATTAGACTTCTAGGGGAATAATGTTTTAAAAAAGAAATGAATATCTTATGAAATTAAAAAGGTTGTAGATCTAGAAAAAAATATTTTTTTTAAAAATACTGGGATAATACCTGGAATAAATGACTTCAAAACCTATTGCACACGTACATTTCAGATTCCTTCGAAAAAACGGGGTACGCATTATACGGCAAATATACCTAAAAATCAAATGCAAATTGAAAGAAAGCAAAGGTGCGCTTTATACGCCGGATTTCACGGTACTTCATAATTGTTAATGCTCTAAAATTTCTTATAGATTAAAAATTTCCAATAGTTACTAGTGGATAACGCTTCTAAAAGAAAAATAACACTAATTTAAACCAGAATTCTCTAAATATCTAAAAATACATTTATGTATGACTATAGAGAAAGAACGATTCTCCCTCTTTTTTTTCAACATCCTTCCGCTATAAATTAATAAAAACACTAGTTTAAAAGTTTAGTATCAGTTTAAGTTAAGTTCAAGTTTTTTTAGAAAGTTCTAGTATAAGTGTAAGAAAACATATCTCGCTAAAATGAATTTCAAAATGTCCATATAAAAAGTGAATTATTAAATTGGTTGAATCAATCAGTTAGACTTTTTTTTTCAACATCCTTCCGCTATAAATTAATAAAAACACTAGTTTAAGTTTAGTATCAGTTTAAGTTAAGTTCAAGTTTTTTTAGAAAGTTCTAGTATAAGTGTAAGAAAACATATCTCGCTAAAATGAATTTCAAAATGTCCATATAAAAAGTGAATTATTAAATTGGTTGAATCAATCAGTTAGAAAAATAATACTTCACTTTCAGTAATAAATCGCGACTAAATCATTCCCATGAGAATCGATCAAATGCTTTGAAGTTTCTCATACACATTCTCATTATATTCAATAACAATAAAATACAGAAGTGCCATAAACGAGACAATAAATTACCAAGCCATTTAAGCAATAATGAATGCACGTTTGATAAACGATAGTTGATCGCCATTCCATAAAAGCGCAATAAATTATTTATGGATAAACTTCGTATAAATTAAAAATCTACATACAATATTTATATACCCAACAACATTAAAAAATTCATAATTAAAAAATTTCCACAAACAAAACTAATACAAACATAAATAACAAATTATTAGTCTAGCTCTTTCGTTTTCGGACATGACGAGGTAAATTATTTTAATACTACTAGCAATTTGATCAAAATACAAACCGAAAAAATAGAAATAAAAATCAATGAAGACGAGTAAAAAAAAAGTAGATTAGTACTTAAGGATCATTTTTATTTTCGCTCGTAGAGTATAGAATCTACCATTAATCATAAAAAGTAGAGCACAAAGGGAAGGAAATGCTAATGAGAATAAAAGTCGACGACGTTCTTAATGAAAATCGATTTTTTTATAAAATTAATGCATAAAATATACACATGAAATCAAAGAACACACACACACAAATTAAATTTAAGGCCATTTTCATTTTGGTTCCCAGAGAATAGAAGTCATTCAAAGCAATAAAATAAAGCTTTGAATTTTATGATAGAACTACTTATTCATGTTTTACAAACGATTTTTTTCCGTATTTTAATTTATTACAAGATGAATGAAGAAGAGTTTTTTCAATAATAAATTTCGAAAAAAAATAAAAATTCCATTTTTGGAAATATTTAAAAAAAATATTTTGTTCGCATTTCAATAGTTTTGAATGCTTTTAAGTGGAGTTCGTCAACACACGATCCATGATTGGTTGGATATTAGCTTTTAAATTTATGTTGACTATAAGTTTTTCCCTATCTAAAAAATAGTAAAAAAGAAATATGCTTAGGATCGTTCGCTAAAATCCGATGCTGTTTTAATCCAGGACTACCAAAAGTAACAATTAACACTAATCGCGAATATATAATTTTTTAAAAAATAATAAAACATAAAAAAGCATATTTTTTAAATACAAATAAAAGATTAAATCTAGTTCGAGTGGTTTGATTTTTTGTTGGAAAACATGCGCTTTGAAACGGTGATAAATCTTAACTAAAAATAAAATAGTACCTTAAGACCAGATTCTAAGAATGATAAGTTTTTCAAAGCATTTAGCACTTTATCCAAAATATGTAATTGTAAAATCACGAGCTACAAGTAAAATTAGCGTTCAATTAAAATAAAAATTATATGATTTATGTTGAAAGACGATACACACAACATTTAAAAACTTGCAACACAATATGCAAGCTTGCATGGTAAATTATGTCGCTGTTTCCTTCAGGGTGCTGCTCAAAATTGTGATGAATGGCTTAGTTCGACAATAATGAAACTAAATCAAATTAACAGTTTGTACGCAGTCAATTTTTTAAAAATTTTAGCTGCAATTTTTTAATGTGCCGAAAACAATTTATTCCGTGGTATCGATTCGTTTACCATCGAATCCATGTTCATTTCCTAAGCTATTTACATAAATATGCAAAGAATGAAGTGAACTGTTTCCTGACTTATATATATGGTACTTAACAGGATTTTCGGTAGAGAAAGGTAGAATAGAAAAGGGGTAATTTGTGTTGAAATTAGCATAAACCCCGGGTGAGTGAGTGAGTGATTTTGGGGTTTATTGGCGCAAGAGCCGATTTCGGCTATACTGCGCCAAACATTTGTTTTAATATCTGTGGTCTAGACGGGAAGAGAAAGAAAGAATGAATTGAATGACAAGAAAGAGGGTCGAAAATAGAGAAGGATCACTAGGGTACCCCGGGTTCGTGAAGCCCGTGTTTACCAAAGACAGTAAACCCCGTGGGAAAAGGAAAAGATCACTAGGGCACCTCGGGATTGTGACACCCGTACTCACCTAAAGAAGGTGAGCCCCCTGAGGGCAGCGTAAGCCCCGGAGTATAATGCGCACCTGTACTTTCAAGTTGCAATTTTTACTTTTCAGGTATTTTCGCCGTGTAACGCACACACCCCTTTTTTGCGAAGAAAACCTGAAATGAATGTGCGCAATACTCTTATGGTTCGTAGTCATTTATCCCAAGCATTAGCAAAAAATAACATACCTCTAAAACTACAATCTTTTAAATTTGTATGGAATGACATTTCTTTTAAATAAACAGTACTTCGATAAAGATAGAAGCACTGGCGTAGCCAGTTCTGAGTGGACCCTGTATCAAAATTCCTTGGGGGCCCTTTTTTTTTAAAGAAATAGACATTTATTTAAAAGTGTCTATTCCCCACTTATTTTCCACATGTTGAGGTCTCTGTAGCTTGGGAACCCCGTATCATTGATACGAGGCGCCCCTTAGAAGTCTTAATCTTTTTCTAAGCTCATCTTTTTGTTTTGTTTTTAAAACTTTCATTTTCATAGCCGGCGTATAATGTGCACCCGTCAAGTTGGATCTTATGTTTATTGTTTGTGTAAAAGTGCCTCGGATTTTAAGGTACACTAATTTTTCTAGATACGCAGGGTTGTAGTCAACCGAAGTTGTAATACTTAGTGATTCAACCAATTATATTAGATAATTTTTAACCTCACAAAATTGTAGATTTGTGATAATTTTCTGTAACGTTATTTGATTATTCTAATTATCTCAAGATAAAAAAAAAAGTTCACTTTATTTTACTTTTTATTTTTACTGAGATTAAATTTGATATCATTAAATTAATGAACTGTTTCAATTCTTAGAATGTTTCGGGTAAATTTGGCTCTTATGTCTATATAACGAACTACAAAAGTTACGTAAATCAAATCTCGGTTTCAAAATATGAATTTTTCAAGAACTTAATACTTACTTATACACAACAGAATATTTATTTTCAAATCTGTTAAAAATTAAATAAGTAGTTTAAAAAAAATTTAAGAAATTTATTGACATGAGAACATTTCACATTTGATATTAAACAAGTAATATAAAAAAAAATTGAAGTCAATTCCTACTTAGATCAACAAAAGAAAAATTTTATTTTAGTTACTTTTTATCAAATAGTTACAACAAAAATAAATATATATATATATATGACAGAATAGAAAGCGCTTTTCCTTGCAATTTTCCATTCAATACAGGGTGTTGAACTATTTTTTTTTTTTGTTTATTTGTGTTTTTTCATCAATTAAATTTAATTATTCTATAAAATTGTATAGTAAAAAAAAAACCACAATCTCAGAAATTACGCCATCCCAGATGCGACTTGAACACACGACCTTCGGATAAGAAGTCCAACGCGTTAACCACTGCGCTACTGGAGCACAACGAATTAATTTCCTTTCTATATATGCTGTTAGGCAATTATTTTTGTTTGTTACTATTTATTCATTTTTAATTTAATTAATGAATTAATATTGAAAAAAGTATATTAACACCAAGTGTCATTCACTACAAGTTCAAAAAATGTATTTGAACTAAAATGGATGAATAGAAAGTATTTTATTTAAAATTTAAAATTTGAACAAGATATATAAATATAGAAAGGGAGAGAGCACACAAACTCTAATAGTAGATATTGAGAAAGAAGATAATATTACCTTTCAGAAACACGTCAAGAATTTAGCATTTTCCACAGCGTCTCAGACAGGATAAATTCTCCAAAATAAGTAATATATTTTTTAAAAAAGGAAAATGTGCTTAATTACACGAGGAAATTTCCATGCAAAATCGTTTTAACTTCAAATAAGGAAAGTTATAGTAGCAAGACAGTCATTTCCCTCAATCAAAAACTAAAGTGAAACTAACAAGCAAGTTCCGTTAAAATGCAGAATTTTTTTCTAATAAAAATGGAAACATGCAGAGAAAAAGTTGAAGACTTACTTATAATTAATGAATATGAGAAAAAATATAAATTGCGATTGACGTAATATGCGCTTGATTTTTGCCATTAATGAATGAGCAAGTATTAGTAGTAAAGTTAAATTATTTATGAATTTTTGAATTATTAAAAAGTACGATTGACGTATAATAAGTAATTTTCATTAATAAATTACGCAAGTGTTTTTAATTTAATGAATTATTTATAGATTTGGGCTGTCAAATAAAAGAAAGTTAATTTTTTTTTAAAAAAATTACTATAAGCTTTTTAGTGCAATATATGTCTCATTACAACTACAATTCTTTGTTTACACATTTTTATAACCATTTATAACCATATATTTTAAAGAGATGTCATCTTTTTTTTTTAAATATCTCATACACCACAAACTTAAGCATAAATTCTAAACATACACTAAGCAAACACAAGTTTTTAATTTTTTTTCCTTATTACATAAAATTTTTATTTATTCAAATTTTATAGAATTTTGTGATTTTTTTCAATTTTTACATAAAGATAATTTGTTTCCTTTTTAAAAGCATCTTTTTTAAAACCCTTTTATAAGCTTCACTCGTGTGTAACGGAATCTTTCAACTCCATTTTTACCCACTTTAAGAGATCAGATTAATTCGAAATTTTGCTCACTAGTCCAGGAATGATGACAATACAATACAATTTAATAATTTTGTTCCACTGCCCTGATAAGGATTAACGATTTCCCTTTTTCAGATCCTGGCGACTAATTTCAGATACCATTTCTAGATTTGACGACTAAAAGATTAAGTTACAACTTAATTAGATACACCATAAAAAAGGGTGTTTTTTTAACAATAATTTTTAAATAAATTAAAATACCGAAGAAACATGTACAATTTCATTGGTTTTAATCCATATGTTTACATTTCAAAACAATTAGATAATTGTTACACTAGAGAAAAAAATAAATAATTTTTCAACCGAGCGTTATTTTAGGTTATTTTGCGCAAATCATGAAGCTGTTACTATTCAGGCACTGGGTACCGGCGGAGCTATTCGATTGGTAAAAACACGACTTCCGTCTCTTGAATCATCCAAAGATCGCAAAAGAAAACATATGAACTTCAAAAACGAGAAAAGTTGGATATTATTAGGAACTTAAGGCTGTCTTCGGCTAATGTTAAAGAATAGGACCTAAATTCGGAATACTTTTTCAGATATAAAAGTACTCAAACATTAACATTACATTCTGGCTTCACTATCCGGTAGAGAATCACTTATTTTACCATACTACTCATTTTTATCCGAGTTGGCACATTTTTTCTTTTATAAAATGTGTTTCGCATTTTTTCTCCGGCACAGTAATTCTAAATGAGCTATATCTTTATATGTTAAAAGGGAGAACTGATTATTCTTATGAAATGTTTTGAAATTTTAAAAACACTATATTATAAGCAAATGTATGAGTTGGGATGTCAAAAATTTTTATAAAAATTGTGGCATTTTTTCTGTCCGAAAATGTGCTCCACGTTTAGTCCACACTGTCGTACGAGGGTTGGAACTTCAATAGTGGCAACAATTTATTATCTTGGAAAGCAAAAGTGATTCCTGTCACCATGTTTTACAGAGTTTCAATATAGTCGCCAGCATTGTGTATAACCCGTTTTCAACGATGAGGAAGTCGCAGAACACCTGTAACAGCGCCTGTTCTGTTGATAGAATGAACCGGTCTACTGTCGCAAGAATCTCTAGAACAATTTTGAAGCGAATGCCATTAAGTTGTTCCTTCATCTTAGGAATTAAGTCACAAGGACTTAGATCTGGGGGTCGATCACTGTCCATTAGTGCGGAAACAGCATGCACTTCTGCTTTGCTGACACTAGGACGACCTGGCCGATGCCTGTCCGCCACATTTTGGCGTCCTTCATTGAAGGCTTTTACCCATCTTGCTACAGATCTATAAGGCAATGCAGATTCCCCGAAAGCCTATTAAAGCCCTAGATGACATTGTCGTGCTGTACGACCTCTGGCACATTCAATTTTTATCCAACTCCGTTGTTCTTGTTTTGAAAACATTCTAACATCACTACTTTAGAGCGCAAGCTAATACAAATATCACAGTTCTTCGAGTCACTACAAATGCGCGTGACGTGGAAGAACATGTTTTTATGCTGAGAGGTAAGGTAAGTATGCAGCTCACATGTGGTATACACGGCATTCTTCGGTTTTATTGTGTAGCGTTTTTACAGCAATGTTGCCACTATTAAAGTTCCAACCTTCGTACATATGGCGAAAACAGCCTTAAGTATCCCTTTCTCTCAACTGATGCCATATCATTTTCAAGATCATATTGATTGATCGCTTATTAACGTCGTATATCTTAGCTACACTTGATTAATTAGCAACGAACCTCGTAATTTTGAAACATGGTCAAGTGACAAGGACAACACCTTAGCTGGCAATCCATTTTGCATACTTCCACACCAGTCAATATCAAGAACTTTGTGAGCTTCCATAGATTAAGCATGAAGCATAGATTAAACTTCAATATAGCAGGTCTTCAGTGAAGCAAGACTCCAATCCACAAACTCGACAGAAAAAACGCTGACCTCCAGTTCAGGACCATGACCATTGGCTACCGTTGCCTGTTCTAAACTGCAAACAGTGATTTAAAATAACGAATAATATTAACTTCGTTAAACATAGTACCATCAGAAATTTATAAAAGAATCATTGCTGCAAATAGATGTTTTTATGCCGAAGAGTTATTAAAAATCCAGTTTTCTTAAATTAAAACTAGATTGCTTTTTTACAAAAGTCTTATCTGTCCTGGCATGCATCAAAGACTTGGCCATTGACTTTACGTGATGAGGAAGCTTTGGGAATTTTCGAGAGAAAGATCTTACGCTGCATTCTTGGTGGGTTCCAAGTGAATGCATCACGGAGAAGACCTAACTTAGAACTCAATAAAATTTACAAACAATCTGATATTGTAAAATTTGTCAAATTACAGAGACTTAAATGAGCTGGTCACTGGCTAGAATGAATGAAGATCGTTGCTGAAAGAAAATCTTTCTGGTAAAGTCCATGGGAAATAGACCTCGGGGCAGACGCCCGTTAAGATGGATTGACTGTGTCGAAAAAGATCTAAATATTTTAAAGGTCAAAAACTGGAAAACAGTTGTCAAAAGTAGAGATACTTCGGTAGAAGACCAGGGTCCACCCAGGGCTGTCGAGCCATTGAAGAAGAAACATAGCACAAAAATGGGAAAAAATCGGTTAAACTAAACTCACTTTTAATAGGTAGATAATAATTAAAGTTGGTAGCAATAAGTACACATACACACAAGTATAATATATATGTGTGTGTAACGTCGAGGCGAATGGTATTTCTTAAAATTAATTGTTGATCACTTGGCCGATAATGGAAGTGAGTGTAAAAAATGTTGGATTGATGAGGAATCATTTTGTAGCAGGAGATAATCCATTTTTTATTACATTCAGGAGACGGAACAACAAAGAACGCAAAAGCAAAAGCCAGATGCGTGCGGTAACATGGTTTTTACAATAAGCGGCGTTAATTTTCCAGAGAATCTCGGCTTTTATACTAAACGCAGATCGGTTAAATTCATATGATTTCTGAGGACATCTCTTCTGATTGGTCCAGATAATCGGATGATGCTCATTATGTAATTCTTATTTAAATACGCTGAACTTTTAATTTCAAAGAGATGAAATTACGATTATATCCCGTTACGCGGGTAATTAACAGTTATTTATGCAAGGTCCTGAAGGGTCAGGACCATTACAAATTTAAAAACCTTGAAAGATGAAATGAACGTGACTTATTACACACACATATATATATATATATACAAAAAAAACTATCAATAAACAACAATCAATGCGTTTAAATTAAAAAATTCAAGTCATTAGAAGTTAATATAACACTAGGTAGGATTATTCTACGATTCTGAGTTAAAATTTACAACAAAAAAAATAATAATAAATACCTTAGTTCTATTCCATACAAAAAAAATACAGATACATTCTTGCAAAATATAAAGTCATGTTTATAGGAAATATATTTTTTCCATAAAAAAAATCAGAAATCATTATTTTAAAAATAAATTTTAAAACAGATGGGCACCTTTCATTAATTTAAATGACTGCTCATTTAAATTAATAAAATTTATTAATTTAAAATTATTAATTACTTTCCATAAGTTATACTTTTTTAAACAGCGGTTTAAAAAAAGCTGAATGAAATCTTTATACACATATCACATCAATGTATTATTCTGTATAAATTTTCAAAATGATGCAATCAAACAGTATTTATTTAATCAGTACTTGAACATCAGTATCGAATCATTTATAAAAATTATATATATGCAAGGTTGATTTCAGTCTAAAAACAAAGTGAAATGACTTGTTTATTCTCAATTTTTCTTATTGTTTTTTTTA